CTGGCATGTGGTGCTGGGGGATTGAACCGTAGTCCCTGTGCTTTGCTAAGCTTGTTCTAAGTAGGTGCTTTAGACCACTGAGCCATCTCACCAGCCCCTTTTTTTTCTTTTTGAGACAGGATCCTGCTGTGTATTTCAGGCTGGTCTTGAACTTGCTGTGTAGCCTAAGCAGCCTTCAAACTCACACCAGTCCTTTTGCCTCAGCCTCCCAAGTATAGGTGTGTGTTCTAACACCTGGTTTCTCTCTCTCTCTCTCTCTCTCTCTCTCTCTCTCTCTCTCTCTCTCTCTCTCTCTTTTAGAAAGGCTCTCCCTAAGTTGCTCCTGCTGGATTCAAATTTATTATCCTTCTACAAGGATAATAAAGGTATTTTTTCCTTTGTATATGAGTTCACAGTAAGCTTTTTTTTTTCTCCTGTAGAAGATGCTTATAAAATCCGGATCCGTATTGATGATGAGCCTGCCAATCTGGACATTTTGGATACAGCTGGGCAGGTATTAAATCCCAGAATGCTATGAGATAAGATTTTTTCTCTCTAGTAAAGGGGAGGGGAAGGCTTACACAGAGATCACTAGTTTATCTCTTTAATTTTCCATGCACGCTGACTCAGGATAGCAGGTAACCAGCGTACCTCTTCTTCAATCTGGATGAGTAGCTAGACTCTGTGGTTCTAAGCTGCCTCAATACATTACTGATCCTTGTATCCTTCTAGGCAGAGTTTACAGCCATGCGGGATCAGTACATGAGGGCCGGAGAAGGATTTATTATCTGTTACTCTATCACGGATCGCCGAAGTTTCCATGAAGTTCGGGAGTTCAAACAGCTTATTTATCGCGTTCGACGTACTGATGATACGCCTGTGGTTCTTGTGGGAAACAAGTCTGACTTGAAACAGCTAAGACAGGTGAAAATAGAAAAGAAAATACTGTAAACTTGTGGGATGAATCATTTTGTTGTTTTTTGACTTACAGATTTATTCCTTTACCTTAAAATAGAAAAATCAATATTAGCTTCGCCCTAAACTTGAAATTTTTCCTGTGTCTGCTAATTTGCTATTACTAAGAATTAAATCTGGATTTTATGAATCAGTTTACAGGACAGAATTCACTAGATTATAACCAAATGACAGATAGAATACCCATTAGGGAAAGGGTCATGAAATGTTCATCTCCTGAGAATTCAGAAATGAAAATGTTTATGTTGCAGCAGGAGAAACTTCAAACTTCCAACTTGAGTACCCTTCCTGTGGTGAGAGTTATGAACTCAGGAAGAGGAAAAAAGATGTAGAGGATTTTAGAATAAGTTAGCAAAGACTAAAATTTTGTGTTAGGGAGGCCAGGGAGATGGCTCAGTAGAATAAGCGCTTGCCTGGCAAGTATAGGGGCCTGAGTTCAATCCCTGGTTCTCTTTTTTTTTTTTTTTGGCAGAACCAGGGATTGAACTCAGACCCTTGTGCTTGCCAGGGAAGTGCTTATTCCACTGAGCCATCTCCCTGGCCCCTCAATCCCTGGTTCTGAATAAATAAAAAAATAAAATTTTGTGTTAGAGCTGGGAGAGTACTGGCACTTGCCTGTAGTCTGAGTTTAAGAGGCTGAGGCAGAGGCCAGGGAGATGGCTCAGTACAATAAGTGCTTCCCTGGCAAGTGCAAGGGCCTGAGTTCAATCCCCCATTCCACGAAAGAAAAGAGGCTGAGGCAGGAGGATTACAAGGTCAAGGCTAGCCCGGGCAACTTGGCAAAATCCTGTCTCAAAATATGATTCAAGGGGGGCCAGGGAGATGGCTCAGTAGAATAAACACTTGCCTGGCAAGCACAAAGGCCTGAGTTCAATCCTCGGTTCTGAAAAAAAAAAAAAAGATTCAAAAGGACTGGGGATGTAACTCAGCAGGAGAGAACTTGCCTCACATGCACAAGGTCCAGGTTCAGTCCATATCACTGCAGATCAAAAACTTGTGCATTTGGTGTGGAGGTAAGGGTGACAGGAAGCGTGTACATCTATGACTACTAGTAGAAGCAATGCATAGTACAAACCTTTGTCAGTAAATTCATAATGCTTGTTAGTTAAACCATGGAAGACTAAATTTATATATAAAATGTGCATTGCCAGACTATTCGTGGTAGTAGAAAATGAGAGCCAGTCCGACCACCCAGCAGAAGAAAGTGCTAGGCACAGAAGCTGAGGCCTGAGGATTACGAGGGCAGCCTGGGCTACATAGCAATTTCAGGACTGACCTTAACTAGTGAGACCCTGTCTCAAAAAGCAAATAAAAATTTAGGAGACATTATGGCATATCCATAATTGGCTACATCAATTTTGGGATTCTAGGGGGCCTGGCCCTAGCTCAGTTCTTTAAGTGGCTGCTTCCACCAAGCTGTCAGCCTCAGGTGGCTCTAGTTCGATCCCCACAACTCTCCAGCCAGCCAAACAAGCCCTGAGGGTATTCGGAGCAAAAAAATAAAAATAAAAATCCTTATTCCATAATTTTGGGTTTCTTTTTTTTTTTCCTTTTTGAGACAAGGTCTCACTGTCGAGTTTAGGCTGGCCTAAACTTTTAACTTACTATGTAGACCAGGTGGGGCTCAAGTTAAAGGAGATGCTTCTGCCTCAGTCTCCTGAGTGCTGGGATTACAGATATGCACACCATAAGCAGGGTCTTCTTTTTTTTTTTCCTGGCGGGACTGGGGTTTGAACTCAGACCACTGTGCTTGCCAGGGAAGCGCTTCTTCTACTGAGCCATCTCCCTGGCCAGGCTCTTCTTTCTTAAAATGAAAAGCATAAAGAAAATGAAGATTGCATATTAAAGGTGGAAGCAACCTTAGGAATCATGAAATAGGGTCCCTCCATTTGTGGACTCCCTCAGCTTGCACACTTGGAGAGCTGCACTCTCTTCCTGCTGAGATAGCCCCCCCCTTTTTTTTTTAGAGAGTAGTAAAATTTTTGAGGGATAGGAATAACTCCTGAAAGACAGCAGGGGTCTCAGATGGGTTGCCTGTCCCTCATTTTTTTTATAGTTGTAATTGTTTCCCACTATAAATTTACTTGTATTTCTACTTTTAAAGGTCACCAAGGACGAAGGGTTGGCTCTGGCTCGAGAATTCAGTTGTCCCTTCTTTGAGACTTCGGCTGCATACCGCTACTACATTGATGATGTTTTCCATGCACTTGTCCGAGAAATACGTAGGAAAGAAAAGGAGGCAGTACTGGCCATGGAGAAAAAATTTAAACCCAAAAGCAGTGTCTGGAAGCGGCTAAAGTCCCCATTCCGGAAGAAAAAGGACTCAGTGACTTGAAGGGAAGGCCTGGAGTGCTTCCCTGTGAACTGCAGCGCTTAATCCAAGCAGTCCAGTAGCCTGCAGTAGTGAGCCTGGTACTTGCTCTTTCTCCTGTTAATGACTGTTATTTTTAAAGTAACTGATGAGGGGGACATGGCTACTAGGAGTTTCCAATGATGTGGTATTTAAAGTGTTGTTTTTTAGTTGATTCTGATTTATTAACCAGCAGAGAGAGCACTGTTTGCTTTTCAGTTGTCACATTAGAATTTGATCTGCCACTGGTGGGGTCATGTTACTGATAATAATCCATGTGAATCGTTTACCCCAGGACAGTGGGTGAGCCCTGGGTGTTTGACCAAGTGCACAGTGGAGGTTTGTGTCATGTAGCCCTGTCCTTTGCCCTCAGTTCCTTGTCCCAGAGAAGGGCCTCAGGCTGTTTTCTGCATGGTGCTTCTCAGAGACAGAAGGAAAACTCTATAGCGAAATCAGTGCTAAAAAGATCAATGACAAAGCCCAGCACATAGCTGTGGAGCTGGCTCCTGCTGCAGGCTGTGGAGTGGTGACAGGAAGTTGAGCCATGTGCTTTCAGGGACTTGCTAAGGCCCAAGCCAGGTGAGCCTGGGTTTTCTGAAACATGCATTTGCCCCAAGGCACTGCGGTGGGTAAGAACAGACAGACACCTGTAAATACAGTGATGGTTTCTCATAGGAGGCTGTTATACTGTTCAGGATATGCCTTGCTTTCCCTTCAAAGGTAAACACTGGGGAGCCATTACTGGGTTACTAACTCTTCTTTAAATCCTTAGTCAGGAGAGCCAGTGCTAAACAGGTTTGTGTCTCCACAGATGCATGTGGCAGTACACAGATTTGCTTCCTAGTGCCTGCCCTTACTTTCTCTTCACTCTTTAGAAACTTTAGCCGGATGTGGCTGGTACATACCTTAATCCCAGCACTCAGGAGGCTGAGGCAGGAGGGTCACTGCCAGTTTGAGGACAGCCTGTGATACAAAGTGAGCTCAAGACCAGGGCCGGGGAGATGGCTCAGTAGAATAAGCACTTCCCTGGCAAGTGCAAGGGCCTGAGTTCAATCCCCGGTTCCACCAAAAAAAAAAAAAAAAAAAAAAAAACAATAAAAACAGCTTGAAATGTAGAGCAGGACCCTGTCTGAAAAACACAGGGGAAAAAAAAACAAACTTAGGCCTGGCAAAGTCTGGCAAAGTAGTCTTTAGACTCTTCATTTGACTGACTGCATTTTCCATACAGAAGAAACATCAGGAGTTTGAATGTGTTATGTGTGTTTGTCTCTTTGACATCATAGTCCCTAGACTCGGAATTCTAAGCAAGCATGTGGCCAGGCATGGCAGTGGTAATGCACACCCAAAAATCTCAGCACTGGGGAGGCTGAGGCAAGGGGATGGCCTTCCTGAACTACCTAGTGAGACCTTGTCTCAAAAAACCAAAAAAGAAAACCTATGGTTTTTCAGTTTATTATGAGTCAGTCTTGAAGCTTTAATAGTCACATGGTTTGTAACCTGAAGAGTTCCTTAGACCATACCAAGTTCACCTCAAGGTTGTGTGAGCCTTGACAAGTTTAAACTAAGAAAAACTACTTGGCTCTGTGTACATGTTGAGAAACTAGGCCCAGGAAAAAGCAGCTTAACTCGATGAGCGCTCTGTGATTGACAGCGTGTGCAGAGCGCGCACACAGAAGGACCGAGAACAGGCACGTGCTGTGTTGAGAATGAAGTACCACTGAAGCAACGTCTGTCTACCTTAAACTCTCAGGCACCTTTCTGTGGCACCCCTGGAAAAAGCACATGGCTGAACTTATTTTCTGTTTATATCAAAGACAGGAAGACAGGGTTATTGTGTTTTTCTAAATAAATCAATGGTCTGTGGTCCAGATTTTTAAAAAAGTGACTGATAGAATGTATTTTTAGCTCTGAATAGTGGTCTCTTTTTCAAGCCCCTGAAACACTCTTGCTACCAGATCAGTTCTTCTGGTACTCAACCCTCTTAACTATGAAAGGCCCACAAGTTGAGTCTATACAGGGTGTCTCACAGGACCCATGACCCTGGGAGAAGCCTCAAAGTGGAAAAGAAACAGGGCAGTTCTGATAAGATGTTACACCTCAGTTCAACTGGTTTCGAGCCCTTTGATGCCTTAGCTTCTCATTGCTAATGACCTAGGAAATTGTCATTGGCACAGAACAAGAAAGTATTGGCTATATAATTATTGAAGATAATCAAGGCAAGAACATTTCTATCCAGAGAGATCTGTAAAAAGTGAGTGTACAGCATATAGAAAAAAAGTTAGGGTTTTTGAGACTTGTCACCTATATGACCTTTGAATAAACTAATCCCTTGGTTAGTGCTTAATAGGATTGTGCTAGATGGTTAGTGATAGGTAGTTTCAGGGTGTAAGTCATAGATTTATTCTTAGAGACCATAGAGTGTAGGTATTTTATGAACTCTGAGTAATCTACTTTATGCAGTTTGAGGGCATTAAAATTAATTACCGCCTAGAACTTCAAAGAGAGAAATTCAGGGATGAGCTGAAAGGCACTGGAACTGTTCACATTCGTACTGGATCAGGAAGCCAAGTGGTGGTGTCTGCCTGTAATCCCCACACTCTAGGGAGGCTGAAGTAGGAGAATCAGGAGTTAAAGGCCAGCCTGGACTAAAAACCAGAACAAAACATTGAAAAGCAAGTGTCTAGAATTAGCAGGTTGGAAGCCAGAAGAGGGCTGGTGAAGTATTAGCACAAGTGGGCCTACTGTCATGTTTGGGAAGAGAGGGTTTTTCCCGTATGCACTTGTATATGAAGATAGTTTGTATGACAATACAAAACTTTTAAACAATTTTGTTGGGCTTTTTTTTTGGCTGACCTGTACGTGGGTGGATATACTTGGAATCATTACAAAAAGATGGTGTTAAGAAAAAATATATAAAGCTCTGGGTGTAGCTCAGTGTATAATATATTGCCTAACCTATATGAATCCCTAGCTTAAGCCCTGGCACCCAAAAAGGAAAAAATACTGTGAGATTACATATTTTGGGAGATAATTATTGAAAAAAACTTGAACCGAATGTGGTAGCACATGCCTATAATCTGAGCTACTGGGGAGGTGGCTGAGACAGGAAGATCACAAGGTAGAGGCCAGCCTGGGTAACTTAGGAAGATCCTGTTTGAAAAAATGAAAGAAAGCTGGGGTGTAGCGTGGTGGTAGATCACCCCTGGGTTTGATCCCAGCTCAAGGGAAAAAAAAGTTTTTGGGTACTCACCGAGTAAGTGAGTAGCCATGTTAAGTGCTAGTGAGCATGCCACAGAGGGACTTTGGATTGAAGGGATGACCTCTTCAGGAAGTGACATGGGGACAGAGTGGTGGGCCCAGTCCATCCAGCCCAGAGCTTTGTGGTCACCTCAGGAACATAAGAGAATTGCTTCTGTGAAGGTCATTGCTTTTGTTTTTTCTATTTTAAGTGAGCACCAATATTGGTAGGGAAGATCTAATTGGGACATTGAAGGAGTGTTTTTATGTCATTTAGCACTTTAATATTTACTTTGGTGGTGCTGGAGATTCAACTGAGGACCTTTGCACACTGCTATGTCCCCAGGCCCCACCCCCCTTTTTATGTGTTTAATACAGGGTCTCACTACATAGATGAGACTTCATAGTGATTCTCCTGTTTTCAGCCTCCCAAGTGCTGGTATTATAAGTGCACACCACCATGCCCAGTCTCAATCACCTTATCAGCGTGCCGGTGGGACAGGGCCGGCCCAGCAAGCCAGGTTCAAACCCTGGCCTCTGTGCTCAGCCTAAGCAGGCGCTTTAGTCTGCTGAGCTATCTGGCCAGCCCTCCCAGCCCTTATTTTGAGAGTATCTCACTAAATTGCTAAATAGCCCAAGCTGGGTTTGAACTTGATTTTCTGATTTGTTTTGTTCTTTGAAACAAGGTTGGATAGCACACACCTGTAAAGCCAGCATTTGGGAACTGAGGTAGGAGGATAACCATAAGTTTGAGGCCAGCCTTGTCTGCATAGTGAGTTCAAGGCTATCCTGGACTGCATAGCAAGACCCATTCCAAAATATAAGAAGGGAGGGTCTTGCTGTGTAATCCAGGGTACCCTTGAACTCACCTTGTATCCCCAGCTGGCCCCAAACTCATGATCGCTCTCTTGGCTCAGCCTCCCACGCACTGGGATTGTGTGTGCCACCATGTCTAGGCAAGGTTTGAACTTGTGATCTACTGCCTCAGCCCCCCAGAGTGCTAGGATTACGTATGTGCTACCGTGCCCACCTTTTTTTTTTTTTTTTTTTCTGGCCAGTACAGTGCTTCATTGTATGGATGGGTAAACTGAGGCCAGAGCGCGGGAGGGAGTGCCCTGCCCAGGGTCCCAGGGCAGTAATTGGTGTTTGGGAAATTGCAGATCCCATCTCTCCGCCCCAGAAGTGGTGGAGGGAGTCATTGCTGAGGTGTCCATTTCTGGGGTGCCCCATCAGAGGAATCCCGGGCTGGGGGTGAGGGGATGGTTCTGACCCCAGCTCTGCTCTCGGCTTCTGCTCTTTCTGTGTTTTTCCTTTCGAGCACTGATCCCTTCCCACCAAGGTCTTCCTCGGGCTGCTCAGAGGGACCCACCAGCCTGCTCAGTTGGCTTCTCTGGATCAGCTGCCCACCCCAGGCGCATGTGCCACCCACCACTGATGGTGGCAAGGAATCATCCTGGCACCAAGCACAGGGACTGTGGTAATTCAGGATGTTCCTGTGGGCATGTGAAATCAAGCTGCTTTTGTTGCTGTTTTTTGAGACAGGATCTCAGTCTACAGTCCAGGCTGGCCTCAAACTTGCAATGATCCTCTTGCCCCACTCAGCCTCTTGAGTGCTGGGATTATGGGCATGTGCCACCACGCCGGGCTTTGAGATGCTTTTATGATATAAATGTCAAGTCTGCAGGAGGCACAAGACTGTATGCGGAGGTGGCTCCTTAGGCACTGGCCCTTGTTCATGTTGCTAATACGCCTTGTGACTTTGAATCCCTTCTGAGTTTTGAGATCGGCGGCTCTCTGGCTCCGACCATCCTAAGCACTGCGTGTCCACAAAGCTCGGGCTCTGGTTTCTCCACTGCTGCTTCCTTTCTGGTCTTTTGCCCTCCTGTGCCCGTCCCTAGGGGTTCTTCTTCCCAGTTCCCTTCTCTCCTTTGTGTTTCCCGGCTGGACTCTGATGGAGAGAGCTCCCTTGTATTTGACGATCCTTTGGGCCTGCCGGAACCCCCTCTTGCCCACCTTTTTTTAAAGGAAAGTTTTGGGGGTGGAGACTGGAAATTGAACTCTGTGTGTCACTGAGCAAAATGCTCATTCCAAAAGACCTACATTGTTTGAAGGGTCAATAAATATCAATATTGACTCCAACTGAAATGAGGGCAATGGAAGAATGACGTTTCATTTTCTAGCGTAACTTCCCTTGTGTAGTAAAATTACACCCCAGTGTGCTAAGCATTGTTTTAAATCTGAGGAATTTAAGGAATACATTTGCATATTCAGATAAGTTCCCAGGATAGTAATAAATATATAAATCGGGCACTCCAGCTACTCAAGAGATTGAGGCAGAAAGATGTCAAATTGAAAACCAGTTGGTGGGGAACTACCCGCTCAGGCCCCCAACCTGTCCCTCTCTCGGACAGGAGCTTTCTTTCTCTCAATATATTCTGCTCATAACCTCCGTTTGTTCCTAAAATTCATTCTTTGGTTTTAGAGAACACGAACTCATTCAGGTCAGGTCCAGAGATCATTTTTCTCTATGTCATTTGGAGGTTCCCTATATTGTTTGGAGGTCACCCACCTGAGGCCAGTTTTTCTCCCCATATCAAGTTCAAGGCCAATCTGACTACGTAGCAAGCCCCTTTCTCAAACAAATAAAATAAATAAAAAAAAAGAAAGCCAGTTGGGAGGAGGTGTGGGGGGCCAGGGAGATGGCTTAGTAGAATAAGTGCTTGCCTGGTAAGCACAAGGGT